TTTTAAATTCCGTTGTTAAAAACTAAGGCATAAACACATTAGCCTCGGCCTGCACAGGGTCAGCATCGTCAACGTTGCTGTCTTCACCTCCACGTCTTGTCCCACTTGAAGGTCTTCGGGGGCAGTAACATGCATGGCGCTGTCATCTGCTGTGACAGGGCCTTCTCGAATGCTTCCTGAAGGACCTGCCTGAGGCCGTTATACTGTTGTGTTTTTTTTTAATAAGTAGAAGGAGTATGCTCTAAAGTAACAATAAAAGATATAGTATAGTAAATACATAAACCAGTAACATAGTTGTTTATTATCTTTATCAAGTATTATGTACTATATGTGATTGTATGAGCTTTTAGATTACTGGTAGTATAGTAGGTTTGTTCAAACCAGCATCACCACAAACACGTGAGCAGTGCGTTGTGCAATGACATTAGGACAGACACGAGGTCACTAAGCAATAGGAATTTTTCAGCTCCATTATAATCTTATGGGACCACCATCACACATACATGGTCGTCGTTGACCAAAGCATCATTACACCGTGCATGGCTGTACATATTGTTTTGGAATCTACTTTCTTCATCCATAACATCGTGACTGTCTCTCCACAGCAATAATTATGTTATTTATATATCTTTTATCTTTTTTTGAGGGAATCGTAAATTAACATGCAGTCGTAAAAAATCGTACAGAGAGATCCCGTGTACACTTTGCCCAGTTTCGCCAATGGTGACGTCTTGCAAAACTGTAGCGCAATATCACAGCCAGGATACTGACATTGATACAATCTGCAGGTTTTATTCTGATTTCCCCAGTTTTACTTGTCTCATTAGTGTGAGAGTGTGTGTGTTTAGGTCTATGGAGCTTTAGACATCATTTTCAGTCCCTGAATCCCACCATAGTGTGAGCACACTACTCAACAGTCCCATTTGGGTGTTGAATCATTCGAATGCTTTCAGCTGCAGGTAAGAAACCGTGACTCATGCCAGCATAAGCAGTGAGGGGATTCATTATCTCGCCTAGCAAACAGGCCAGAGGTAGAGGTGGCTTCAGAGTTGGTTGGTGCAGAGGCAGGGCTCAATGACCCCGCCAAGGAGGCAGGGTCTTCCCTTCCCTCTGCTGGGCCGTCCTCAGTGCTGCTTGGGCTGGTGGCAAGATGGCTGCAGCAGTTCCACTAATTATTACTAATTATTTTCTTAGGATAAAATCCTAGGAGTGGAATTGCTGGGTCAAAGGGTATGTACATTTTTAAGGTTGTCGCTATGTATATTGTTTTGTTTTTTAAGTAGATATTCACTGGGACCAACTTCCTCCCTTTCATTCCTAACTTACTCACTGAAACGTTGTCGTCTGATGGGGTGAGTCCTTCTCCTGTGTTCCAGGTAACTTCCCGGAACCTGAAGAGGAGCTGGCACTAACGGCTGTATTTCCCAACGGAGACTGCGAGGACCTTGGAAGGGGGTCAAAAGCCCGGGATGCAGTTGTCCACACTCCCGCTGAGCCCGCTGGGGACTCGAGATGAAGCCTGGACCCTTGGGCTGTCCTGGCTCTGACCTACAGACTGGGGCCTGGCTCCTGCTCTCTGAGCCCCTGTGTCTCCATGTTGGCTTCGGCTGGTGGTAACTACAAAGACCCCCCTGCTAGGGGGGCAGCCACATTCACAGTCGCCAGCTAGACAGCAGGACTTACCAAGACAAGCTGCACCTAGGAAAATGTATCCCCTGGGAACCTACTCCCCACTTGGCATTTGCTAACTAATCACAGGGAGCTTATTCTGTCTCTCTGTGCCTTGGTTTCTCTGAGCCATTGGGATAGACGGCTCTCTCCTCTGAGACTCTGCCATGCTGTGCTACCCCGTGGTGTGTTTGTAGTGCTCCAGGCACACGCAGGAGCATCCGTTGCTTAGAGTGCAGCTGGAAAGAACTCTGGACCAGGAGTCGTCAGATCTGAGGCATAGCCATGGACATGTAACTCAGCCTCTGGGGCTTCTGTTTCCCAAATGCATGAGGGGGCTACCAACCCAGCGGCTTTCAAACGGGCACAGACTGCCCCTCTAAGCTGCACTGGAAACGTCTGCGTGTGTGTGTGTGTGTGTGTGTGTGTTGGGGGGGTCACTGTGACTGTGGGGCACCCCTGGAATTTATCAGGTATCCTACAAGGGTGCAGCACAGCCTCCAACAGCAAAGACTTGGTCTACTTAAAATGCCAGTCATGACACCTTTGAGAAACTCTGCATGAGCCAATCCCTTCTCCCTGTCAGAGTCCCCCAGAGCTGAGAGGGTCGGGTTTTCTGGGACCTTGGCTCCCAGCACAAGCCAGAATAAAGAAGGACCACGCTGTTGCCTTGGGGGCCTGTCAGGGCAGGGCCAAGACAGTCCGTGTGGTGCAGGGCCAGGACAGGAATAGCCATGCACGCCTGGGAGAAGAAAGAGCCTTTTTCTTTCTTATGTTGATGTTGACTTTCTGTGCCAAGTCCTTTGAGGATAAGAATGTTGGGAACTCCCCATGGCACCACACAGAAGGAAAGCAGGGACATGGGATGCTTGGGCATAGGACTTGCTCTAGATCGCGGGTCCTAGCCCAAGGTCAAAGCAGACACAGCCCAGAGGTTCTTGAATCATTTCTTCTGTGTCTACGAGCCAGAGAGGGTAGATGGTGTTCTGTTAGAGCTGGGAAGGCCATCTGTCACTCACAGAGGAGGCTCTGCATTACCTCCCTCGTCTTCCTTGCTGCCCCTGGGGAAATCCAGTCTTTGGACTGGCAAGAGCAGCTCCTGATTTTCCTAGCGGGAAGCACTGTCTGAGGGAAGTGGCTACGTTCATTCGTTCCCTCCTGCACGACTCGCTCAGCAGACACACAGTTGCGCTCACTATTTGCTCAGCGCCCTGTGAAGTGCTGCACAACTTTGGTTATTTCAGCTGTCTATGTGATAGAGCCAAACTGTGCGGTGTGAACACTTCTTTGGCTGAGGGGCTCTATGATATTAAGGAGGGACCCTCCTTGCTGTGTGCCTTGGTTTCTTGTCCGTGATAGACAGCCTAATCCTATCTGAGCCTCACGGGGGATAGTGTGAGAACGAGCAGGATGACATCCTCATATGTGGGGTTGGTTCACAGCAGGCATCATTTTAATGCAGGGCTGCTGGGGGCGGTGACTCGCACCTGTAGTCCCAGCTACTCGGGAGGCTGAGGCAGGAGGATCACTTGAGTGCAGGAGTTCCAGGTTACAGTGAGCTATGATTGCACCTGTGAATAGTCACTGCATTCCAGCCTGGGCAACATATCGAGACCCTCATCTCTAAAGTTAAAAAAAATAATAATAATAATGCAATAGATTGACCCAGCTGGCTTCCTTCTACACAAGAGTGAACTCAATGAATTTTGACTCACTAATTTTATTGATTTTGTTTTAAAAAATGGGGAAACACATATTTTTGAAGCTGCTGTATTTTTATATTTCTCTATTAATTTCTTTGTAATAATTGGGTTGAAGTTTTATTATTTGGTGGGGGGGGAGCTTTTTTTAATTTAGAAATTTGTCTAAGGCAGAAGTTATAAGGTTTAAAAACCTTTGTATTTGTTGCCAATATCTGAAACTTGGGAGATTGCACATTAAAAAACTAAGTTTTCTGGGTGGAGGATGGGGCATGGTGTCAGCTCCAGTTTGCTGCACTTCCCCACCACCTCCACCTTTGGTCCCTCTCGCCTCCTGCCCACCCATCCCATCCCCCACTGCCCTTCACTCGTATAGAACACCTGTCTGGTGCTGGCCCAGGTAGGCATTTGAGTTTGCAGCCTCTGGTCTAAAGGGCTAGCTTTACACATTGCTTTTTTATTGCCTTCAGTATTTCCTATGAGTAGTTAGAAGATCTTTGTTTACTGGAATGGGTTCGCCTCCCAACTGACAAAACAGGGCTGAGCTCATCTCGGCTTCCTTGAGATGTGGCCACCATAGGCACCATCCTTGCAGGGACAGACACTGCTGTTTCCTGGCTAACAAAGTTAGGTGCCACAAGGGATGACCTTGGTGGTAAGTGTCTTCTCTGAAGGACTTTAAGAAGGCACAAAGGTTGGGGTGGGCCTGTGTGAGGGAGGAGACCCTGGATTAAGTCAGTGGTCCCAGGAGCCATCAGCAACGGGCCTCCAGCAGCGTCACAGTCTGGGCTCTTGAGTACTCATCTTCCTAATACGGCAGTGGTTGTGCTACTTCTCACTTGAATTGATAGTTCTTTATATCTAATAAAACCAAGCAGTACCTCACTGGCATCTTATCAAAAGCAGAAGAGCTCTTCCCCTTCATTCTCTCTCTCTCTCTCTCTTTATTTAAATGTCAACATTCATTTTGGTCAAGCTTTTTGTTGTTGTTGTTGCTGTTGAGACAGAATCTTGCTCTGTCGCCCTGGCTAAAGTCATCATAGCTCACTGCAACCTCAAACTCCTGGGCTCAAGCGATCCTCCTGCCTCAGCCTCCCGAGTAGCTGGGACTACAGTGAGCTTCATCACACCCGGCTAATTTTTCTATTTTTAGTGGAGATGGGAGTCTCATTCTTGCTCAGGCTGGTCTTGAACTCCTGGCCTCAAGTGATCCTCCCACCTTGGCCTCCCAGAGTGCTGGGATTAAAGGCGTGAGCCATGGCACCTGGCTGCCCTTCATTCTCATAAGGTATTCCTTGCAGGGGCCCTTGGGAGCAGGGAATCTGGGCTGAGGGTGGAAGCCTCTGGAATAGTCTGTGGCCTGAAAGTCTCTAAGCCTCTGCCCTGGGTGACATCTCCACAGCTCTGCCAGCCGAGATTAAAAATCATGTAGCTAGGAAACATAAGCAAATATTTAAAAAGACATTAAATTTTTAAAGATAGCATTCAGCTTGGTATACAAGAGTGCATGCGTGTGGTGTGCACACGCGTACACACGTTTCACCAGAGCTAAAACGGCCTTAACTGAGTCTCAGAGAACCCTTTGTACCATCCGTGTTACGTTTTCTCTCCTCTCAAAGTGTTCGTCTCCAAAACTTACTGCACAGGAGGAGCCCTACCCTCAGTAGGGCTTGTTGTTGTCAAACCAAAAACTAAGGCATACCTGCAAAGGAGCCAGAGCTGAGGCCCCAAACCTTTAATCTAAACGAGCCCCTCTTACCTGGCAGAGAACCAAGGAGGAAACCTGGCTAGGGAAGGTTAATGACAACCGGGTGAACTTGAAAGTAGTCCATACTTTAAAGTGTAGCAGAGAGAAGCTGCGGGGTGTTCCCTGCAGTCAGGAGGCCTGGACTTTGTCACGTTTGCATGGCAAACACAGCACAGTGAGCACATGTCGGAAGCTGGCTGTTTGCACCCAGGGTTGTATAACCCCTTCTGACCTGGCTTTGTGTGTTAGTGGATCAAGGATTGGGACAGACATGGAATTTGGCCTGGGCAGCCTGCCATTTGTGTAAGCTTGGAGTTGAGGAAGAAATGGGGTACAAGGCAGGGTGGATGACCAGGATGCTACATGGACCCTTCAGATGCCTTTGGCTGAGCCAAAGGCTCTGGTTCCCTTATATTTGGGGCTGCCTAATTGGGAGCAGAGGCAGAGGCTACCCCACTGGGCCATACCATGGTTCACAAGGTATGTGCCAGGAATCCCACCGTGAAGGGTGGGAGGGACTGGGGTGTAGGGTAGCTCAGGTCCAAAGTGGGGCTGGGCGCTGAGACCACTGTGGGACTGTGGCTTTGGCAAGGGCAAGAACCCTGTCTGGCTTTATCCCTGAGCTCCCCAGCCCCAGCTGGTGCTTCTGCCACGATTGCAGACCGAGGACTGCCTGCTCCTTGACCAGTGAAATCCAGAGACCCTCAGTAGGGCTTGTTGGTGTCTTACTCTGCGTCTAGTCGGAGTAATTAGACACTGAGTTTAGGCCTGTGACCAAGCCCACTTTTGAGTCCTGGTTGCAAAAACTGAGTCTCTGTCTTCCAGCCCCGAGATCCTTCCTTTCCTGACTGGTTAAGGAGGCCTTCTCAGATCATTGCCCCAACCCCAGGCTGACCTTGCCCTGACCACCTACAGTCCCAGGAATGTCACCTGCTCCAGAACCCCTTACTGCCCGGACAGCCACCCCAGCCCCTGGCTTCCCTGACAGGAGTGGGTCTCACCTGCAACCTTCGCACCCAGCCCCCCAATCTGGCCCAGCATGTGGCATCTCCTAAGAGCAGGCAAGACCTTGAAGCTAGACTAAAGGGCCAGGCCTGAAGGGGATGTCAGAGGAACAAGGCCTGGGAAAGGGTCTAAACCAGCCCTGCCTAAGAGAAATCTAACATGAGGCACATGTGTAGCTTTATATTTTCTAGTAGCTACATTAGGAAAAAAGTAAAAAGAAACAGGTGAGATTAATTTTAATAATTTATTTAGCCCCAAATGTCCAAAATATTATTTCAACTGTTAATTATTAGTGAGACATTTTACATTCTGTTTTGCTAAATCTTTGAATCAAGGCCGGGCGCGGTGGCTCACACCTGTAATCCTAGCTCTCTGGGAGGCCGAGGCGGGCGGATTGTTTGAGCTCAGGGGTTCGAAACCAGCCTGAGCAAGAGCGAGACCCCGTCTCTACTAAAA